TGAAATGTTGCAACATTTCAGTGTATCAATATTTTCTTCTTTAGTAACATCTTGTTTAATAAGATCGCAGTGTTTCACATCAGTTTGAACACATTTGTTTTTCCTCYTTGCGGTGCATCAACCTGGAGGTCAACATTTTAAACCTTTGGAAGTTGTGAATGGAATCGTGTCGTTACAGTGGCGCTGCTGGTGAGAGAGCCGTTCACACGAATCGATGTATGATAACGGCCGCTGCCCTGAGCCTCAGCCCGGTGCGTCTCCCTCTGACAGGAAGTGGTTCGAGCCTGACGCAGCTTCGACACGTTCTGTCGCACGGTCTTGATTCTTACCCTCCTCTCAGTCCAGTGTGTGTATCGAGGACGTCACTGAAGAAGCAGTTTGTGTCCCCCGGAGGATGTGGAAACTGAGGCGTTCGATTCAGCCGAGTGTGTCAGAGGTGCAGCCCGGCCTGCCGGTCTTCCTGTGGCAGAACAAAACCTTTTTTTTTTTTCTTTACTGGTTACCCCAGCACTTAGTGTGTCTGAGTTTTTACCCGGTGTGAATTTCTCATCTCAAAAACCAACATTCTGTTCCGCTTTGTTGCAACAAAAACAGATCCCCAATCTGGCTTTGATGAGCTCATAAATCCAGGGGCCCAGAACTTGGTGAGGACGGGTTCCATAACCATCAGATGGCTTTATTGGCCCAGAGACTGAAGCAGCAGACCGTCAAGGGCCTTGTTACCAGCCTGATTTATCCACAATCCCCCCCTCCCGGGTGTCATCTTCATCACTGCAGCCGGTCTGCTACACCGTTTGAGCCACAGAACCTGATCCGATGGCCCCCCATCTAACACGTCCCCCCTCATCACACACAGTAATGATTCTCCAATGACCACGCAGTCCTTTTTAATGTCTGCTCTTATCTGATTTACTGTTTTTTTATGGTCCTCTCACCTCCAGCACAAGTCAGATTGTAATTAGTCATGCTTCAGGAAACGGAGCTGTTGATCTGGCGCTGCTCGGTGCACCATGTGGATCTTCCACCGCCAGATCTTAACTCAGCTTTCACTCAAACGCCAAATTGGCCCCTTTTTGCTTTGCTTTTCACAGTTTAATGTAAGTAGACTTGTAACTGTGTGTGCGCTTCGTTTGTTTCCAACACAGAAAAAAAGCTATGGCAGCAGAATAATAACAGCTGATAATCATTTTTATATTGCAAGTAAAAATATATATAACATTTAGGCTTTAAAACTCGGGGATTTAAGTGTTTGAATCAAATAAATTCCTCTCTTGTGCCAAGAATTTATCCAAATCAGTAAAGCCTTACGAAGCCACAACATAAAATTTACAGCAYTTTACGCTTGGAAGCTTGGAGGGTTTGAGTCAGCGCAATTTTAAATTCACCTTTAGCAGCGCTCCGTGTCTGTTTTGACAGCCCTGTTTGACCCAGAACCTCCTCATAAAAAGCCCAGCCTTGTTGGCTGCTCCTCCCTGAATACAGTCAGAATGTAAATGGGAGCAACGGTTAACCTTGTTCCCAGAGATATTTCATGTCAGCCTTTGGTTCCTCCCTCCACTGTCGTTCCGAGCACGTGGGAGGCTCATCTCACGGGACAATCAGTGATGAAAATGTCATCGCTCTCCTCTCATTCTCATGCATTATGTATTAGAGACAGTTCAGGGTGTAGAAAACGGAGGACAAMGTCGTCAATCATCATTTATCTGGAGAAACAGTGTTAATACTGTAGGTGTTCACCAGCAGAGCAGTGGAGGAACTACAACACAGACTGGGTTCATTTGCATAAGCAGAAGCAAAGAAAGGTTTGCATTACAGAGCCCAGGGCAAAAAGAAATAATGTTACGATAGCCTGTCTCTTTGTGTGGTTTTGTCTCTGTTAACAAAATATCAACTGAACTACAGCAAATTAACCAACTGTTGGCGTCATCCCATTTTAAGATGGCTGTCTCAATCTATTGTGCAGATAAATTTAGTGTGGTTGTATCTGAGAGTCATTGTTAACACCTAATATAAGGGTCCAAACTACAACGGCTGTGTCCAAAGTCAGGGGCTGCGTTCTTCAAAGAACCTGGTCCAAGTGGTTCAAGACCTTTGTCGACCACAAAGACTAGAAGAAAGTGGCTGTGAATTTGTACGGTCTAGTCTTCAGATTTATTCCCGCCTTTATCTCAGCGTTATGTCCATTTTCCCCTAGCATCAATGATGCAAAAACAGAATCAGTGATGAAAATGAGCAATATATTATTATTAATAATATAAATTAAAATTAGCTTAGTGGGAATACATGAATGCCTGAGGGATTGCCGTACGAGCTCATTTCTGACAAGAATATTTAAACATGTTTATACAAATGACAAAAGAACAACACAACCACTTTAAACTTTAAAATTTTGTACCCGTGGCCCGCAATGCATCTTGGGACAGGGTGGGCCGAGACACGGACCCTTGCCTCAAATTGTGATAAAAGGAGGATGCATTTGAGGGTCACAACTGGAGGAGCCTCTGAATTTGGACAGCTTTAGTCGCTTCACTGTGACGTAATCAGCCTGTATTACACTAGATTTTATTTTAATATATATAATCATTTGTTTCATTTAATTAAAAACAACAAATTTCATCACAACACAAACACACTATCATTAAAAGAAAAGGAGCAGAAAGAATAAAAATATGTTAGAACGTCTGCCCCCATCAAACATGGCATCATTTTCCAATAAGTTTATCACCGTTTATCATAAAATTATCTCAGTTTATAAATTCCTCCACAGAATGTTAAACCTTTCATCATGTGATACCGCACATTTTATTTATTTTTTTTACTCTTCTTTTCTGCATCCTCTAGTGTCATTTTCCATTAAGACCCAAATTCCGGCGTTTTTACTTGCAGTTGTTTTTCGTTATCTGCAGCTTCTGCCATCCAGRTTTTTCTCCGCTGTTGCTCCTCTGGACTCATCAGGCGAGAAAACGCCTTCTCCACAGTTTCAATATGCAAATGCAAAATAATAATAAAAAAAAATTATTATAGCTGCTGGCATCTTCCACACTTTAAAATATTAAATATTCATGATTTCAGCGCGTTGCAGTCAGATCGRACCCAGCACTTTGCTGCGTCGCCTTAAATTTGTGTTAGATTTGTGACACTGGATTACTGAAAATAAAGGCACATTTTGGAGGCGCACACACATCTACACGTGCGCGCGCATGTGTGTGTGTGTGTGAGAACAGCATATGGTGGTGATTTCAGAGAGCTTGGATTAGAAGCTGAGACTCTCCTGGGCCCCACTTCCATTTATTATTCATGTTACAGGGTCTGATCACCACTCAGCGTCTGTTTGTTTAGAGCCAGCCTTGTTTTGCTTGTTTTAGCCSTCTTTCGGTCTAAATGTGTGCTGTTCAAGGACATACGGGTGCTGCGTCATAAAAACTTTAATGTTTTATCCGATGTTTCTGTGCGTCCAGGTGTGGAGGGGTACCCTGGCCAGAATGCGTTACCGGCGGATGCGCGCCGCCCTCATCATCCTGCGGGCCTACAGGCGCTACAAGGTCAAGTCCTACATCCGCGAGGTCAACCGCCGCTTCAAAAACGTGAAATCCATGAAGGATTACGGCCGACACGTGAAGTGGCCGACGCCTCCCAAAGTCCTGCGCCGGTTCGAGGAGGCGCTCAAGAACATCTACAACAGGTATGCATGCTGAGTGACACCTGGCTCCTGAACATTTCCACCGTATATCTGCTTCTCACGTAGGTTTTTACTAGGGG